TGTTCGCACTCTTTATGAGTAGAAAATGTTCGTGTTTTGTGATATGTGTGCCGCGATATAAAAAAGGTTGGAAACCACTGCCCTAGATGCTCTAATATTTCTGTGTCGATATGACATGGAATAAATACGTGATTTTAATGTCATGCAAGTTAATGTGCTATTAAACTCATCGTTAGGACAGGGGTCACCAAACTACGGCCCGTCATTTTATCCGGCCCGCAATAACACACAAATGTGGCCAAATATTTTTCCAAGAAAAGTTTTCTCGAGCATCGTCTTCCTTGTTTATTTCGTAATATTGGCCAATCAGCAAGATGCAAAAAAGTGACGTAATAATGGGCCTTTTCGCATCCGCCCAGACACTTTCGTCACCCTGACAGATTTTCAGTCGTGGTTGTAAAAAATACTTCGTTTTTGCGATTTTGAATGCTATAGTAGTATATATTTACGATGTTATTCGTTAGTTTCTGGTTGTGTTTGGGAAATTTAAGTATGAATCAAATAAGTCAATCATCATTTGCCTCTTTAGGAGTTGTAGTTTTAATAGTAGTAATGAAAAATTAGTCTAGAAATAGCTGTGACAAAATAGGCTAAAATTCTTTACCGGGAAGCAACGTTTTCTGCGAAAGATGCACGCGCCGAAACTGTTTACGTCTTTGTGCTAAAATGAACTTCGAATGTGCATTTTGCGCTAACAGTACTGTATTCCCTCGCGTACTGCTCCAATTTCACAAGTCACACTAATTTTTGTACTGCTTAACTGATTCATGTAGGTAAGTTACAAAAAAAAATAAAGTTCATACGATTTGAATAAAAACTGCGCCAGTGGATAGATCTGAGTGAAAATAAGAAAACAATATCCAGTTTATAAAAAAACGGTGAAGAGATATCGGAATTTTAGTACCGCCCGACAGGCCATTTTTTTCTTAAGGATTGTGTAACTTTTTTGATAAGAACTGTAATAAATATGAAAAAAAACACATATCAATCACTAACCTTTCAATCTGCGTCACATCTATGAGACTATTTCAGAATTTTATTCTGGCAACGGTCTTGACACCGCCGACAGTTCGTCGCAAATAAACGCTGGAGTTGTGCATGATGTTTGACCGTAAATATGTTTGACAGTGGTTCACTATGGGTAAAATTTAACGATGTTCTGATTGTACAAACTCCATAAAAATTGGTAAGTATCATGTATCAAGTTAGGGAAGAAATACACACGTCCACATAAATTTTATTGGTGTCCATAGACAATATCATTACTTTGCACCACGAATGACTTGAGCGTAATTTTAGAAGCTCCGAATGTTGGGAATTTATGCGCTAATGAATAAAAATCAAATACCAGATAATAGTTGTTTATTTATCTAAATTATGTCGAAATTTCATGGAATTCCATGCTACAGCAGGCAGTCCGTAGTCGTGCAACGTTTTGATAACAGCTAAACTCAGGATTGTCGTCTAGCTAGGCTATATATAGAAATTTTGTATATCTGTTTTCCTAGGATGTTCTCGATCCATATTCTGCGATATATATAGAATTTAATTTTCAAGTCTTGAGAAATGTAGAATATATATTGTTGAATAAACTGAATGGATTTCCCAATTTTTGTGAATTTATTGTATTGCATTGACAAAAATATTTGTCCGGCCCGTTTCAACACAGTTTGAGTCATACCCGGCCCGCGGTCGAAAAAGTTTTGTGACCCCTGCGTTAGGACGTTGGCCGCCGTTATGAGATCATAGACTTAACAAACATCCAGCCGTCGAGGGCTTAAATGGCCAGAGGACCTCTCACCAAGTTTGGTTGTTAGAAGAATATCGGTACTACGAATCAATAGGAGTTAAAGAATCATAAAATTAATGGACATGAAGTCAATACTTTGTATTTTGCAATTAATATATTTATATTGCGCCAGTATGGACGTATATTATGGATCCTGCCACAATCCTTCACCCCGAATACAACACACAAATCCTTAGTGACAAATAATATTAAATGTAAACAACAACATACTCTTAAGACATCTTAACACGGAAAATGATTAGAAATAGCATTACGCGCTCGAAGAATGCGACGGGAAAAAATGGTTACACGCATGAGCGAGTTGATTAGAGTGTTACATGTAATAATGTAAGGGAAACAAATAATCTGGCGTTGGAATATATTTGGCGGACCGGCAGCAAGGACCGACGGTTTAGAACCACTGAGCTACTAGAGTATGATTTGATGGCAAACACCATCGGCTTTACTATATTGTAACGTTGTTTTTTACGAAGTCGAAATACTTAATAGAAGATTTTCCGACCTCAAAAACGACCTAAAGTATAACCATATTTGGTGCTTGAGATGTAAAATAATCGCCTACTCCACCACACATTTCATGGAGAGCAATTCACTAAATTAAATGAAGTTCTCGTTAAGTTACATTGCAACGGTGTTACGACGACCACGCGTTTCACTGGAACACTGGCTTACTTCTGATTTTATCTTCTGCGTCGTCTTTGTATTCATCATCACCGTTTGTGAATTGCCCGTCCGAATTTCAAACAATATTATCTTCACTTATACCGGAATGTCGATATTTATGAAGAGGTAATTGACTCATACTTTAATTTTTTAACGTGTCTGTGTTATTTTCGAATTGGATGAAAACTCATGTCACTTGGAGTTGAAATGGTGATTAAATAAATCGGCAAAAATGGCAATTCTACTGGTCGAGATAATATTTCCCTATTAAAATTTAGCGAAAATCGCATAGAATATCTTATTATCTTGTTTGACATTTCTAAATTAACCAAACGGCGTCGGCGCACTTTAATTAGGAGTTGAAACGACGGAAATATTACTCCTCCTCAACTCTGTCGATTTGGCAAAGGCCGTGGACAAAATATCCCCGAATTCAAGTGTTCGATTAGTTGACTCGCGAATACCATTTTAAAGAAAAGCGGTTATTGTGGCGTAACAATTCGTCAACACGACACCGTGTTTCTTGGTTGACGATTCAAGTTCGCACCCCTCTCCCCCCAAATCCTCCCAAAACTATAGAAAGTATCCGCTCCTGCTTTGCGTTGCAAAGCTTATACCGGAGTCCTATTTATTGGACACGTTTAGTGGACATAACGATCGTTTCAAAATTTTGTTGTTATTGTTATTTGTCTCCATCATTTTTAAAAAATCGCTTTTCTCTTCGAATACTGGACCAATTGCTTTGAAATTTTTAGTGGTTAAAGATAAAATTTTTCTATTTCTAGAAGGCTATTACTTTTTTTTTCGCTATGACGTCATCAAAATTATTGCCATTGGGTGGAGTTACGTGTCCATATTTTGAGCATAGCTCTCTTGTTATCTATGCCCTAGGCCTAACACCTAGCTTGTGCGATACGAACAACGCATGTCATAAGATCAATAACCGAAACTTTTGTGCATGCTCTACTAGGAAACCTATGCTGAAAGAGATGCAGCTCGCGGTTTCACCCAGTTTTTGTATTTGCCCGCCAATATCAAAGGTTGCACACCTCCGGTAAATAGTGTTAGGTTTAAACCAGTTATCTGCAGTGAATTCTAACGGCTCTATTTTCAGAAGCTACGATTTATGCATGCTTGTTTAAGTTGAAGAGTTACAATCAGATATGGCATATTGAACGTGAGAGTGTAAAATTGCAATGTTTACTGATAGTGTGGTGGCGTACAAATTGTCCAGGCTTTCCTGTTTCTTATGCATTTCAATATTATAAGTGTTCCGTTTTAATTGAAGCCTAAGAGTAAAACCAAGTCCCTGTATTGGTTGGAATGCGTAATTTTGTGCTGAACTACATGACTTTTGATTTTTGAATATTCACTAGTTTGTTGTTTACCATAGTCATATATTTCCGTGACAAATCATTCATGAACATTAAGAAGGCCAAGGGTGCTATTGCTGAATCCTGGACAATTCTGCAGAGGATAGGCAACCTCAAAGACCCTACTTATAAAATAAAATTTTATCCACAGTTGGGCGATCAAATAATGGGTTGCTTGCAGCTCAAAATCAGAGACTCTCCGTTATTGAGTAACAATTGTACTGACAATGCCTTTTTCAAATCTAAGAAACCACGACAGCACGGCTGGTAAAATGGTTGATTTAAAAACCCCATTCATATTCGTTGATGAGATTGAATGGACGACAAAAGATGAGTATTTTTAATGTTCTAAATTTCCTCTCCAGTCTACAAATCTATGGTGAAGTGAGGAGATATATATATGATTTATGAATTAAAAAAATGATTCAGTTCTATGGATATATATGTTATGAATGACTGTTTTCAATGAAAAAGAAACCATCATGTATACATGCTTTTTTTCTTTTCGCGCTCAATACTAGCAAACCTACAAAGCAGTATTTTTCCTAAAAAACAAAGATTTTGGCAAAGGCGAGTTTTGTTGTCGTTTTCACCGCCCCTGCCGCGTCTTCTACGTCTTTCATCATCCAGTCTTCTTTCTCCACGTCCTGCAAACCCTTCAATGAATCGTAACCCACCGTCTGATGCTGATTCAGCCACAACAGCATCATTTGGGGTGAAATTTCAAGGAAGAGGACCTGAATATTTCGTATTTGTCTATCTCTCTGGGGCTCACTGTCAAAACGTAGCTGTCTAACCTAATATCGTCCATAAGTCGTAATAACATTCCACAGACATAAAGGTTGCTTGTATGCAGAAACTGCTCAAATCTTCTAAATGTGTTATCATTGGTACCCAAGTTTTATACGGTTCCATGCGTTTACTCTTGAACTCTGGCAAACCGAAAACCATCAGAGTAAGCTGTTTTCCGGAAATAGCCACATGGCATTGGAAGTTTCATAAACTGGTTCGCATTGGCTTGCATCAGGGAACAAATCCTACATAGGACTAATAGCATCATTTTTTCTGTTAGAAACCCTACTGTAAAGTGATAGTTGACACGACCCAAGATGTGATTTCCAGATTCTCCCAAACAAAAGAAATAAATAGAAAACTGACTTGCAGAAACTTATATTTTTCCCAATATAACCAGTAATATCTTTAACCAGAAAAAATTAACAAACATTAACTTAGAAAGAATTGATAAAGAATTCAAAAAGAATTCGGGATAAATGAATTTATGACAAGCCATCACAAAGTGGAGCAAAATCGAACAAAAATTTGCCTTGAAATTTAGAATGAGCGAAAAAACATATCAAGATCAGACAGCAGCGATAGTGTGTGGCCCATAACAGTTACAGCAATAAAAATTGTGCGTCGAAATCAATATACGTCGAAATGTTGAATACGTTGAGCAATCTTAGTGTCCAACATATTGAATACCAGAGATATAATATATATCGCAAGCATTGCTAGAAAGAGTTTGGTCAAAAATAGAACAAAAAAAAAACGCAAAAGGAAAATGCAAACGTAAGACGCGACAAAAAAGCTAATGCACAATGATGCAAAAAAGGAAGCTAGATAATTAATGAAGAAAATTTACTTTGAAAAATCAAGAGCAACAAATTATTATAATGATAAAAATAATAATTTAGCAAATGACAGGATATCCCTGTTATCATATCAAAACTCCACAGCGGATTAAAAATTGATATACTAAATTTAGGAGTGGATTACTGCACAGGATCAGTCTATCTCATATGAATTGAATTTCAGTCGATCACTTGTTGCTTTGCTTATTGTTTTTTCGTGTCCTTTTACTCCCACTAGACTCATCTGTTATTGTTATAGAATCACGCTGTAAAAATAGGAAAATATATTAAGTTTGGTTCATAGAATTTTGTAATATATTCAAGTTATTGCAAATTTTGTACTTACTTTTACTACAGCTGCAGCATTAGAAGATGTTTTAGCTTGTGTTGTTGACGTAGGTTGGTCAAGTAATGCATTCTGACTTCCACAACTACTAGCAACACTGCTTGTACTCGCAGAATCTTCTGTATGAACCTGGTTTGTTTTAATATAAATCAGAATATGATAATATTAACTATTTAATAACGAGAAATATGAAAGCCATATTGACAACAAATTCATTTGATTTGATAAACCATGTCCTCAGTAAAAGACGTGATGATTGCACAGGGGGTTCACAGCGATACAAAAAGAGTCTTTTTTTATCTTTATCTTGAATGATTGATTTCAATCAAAAAGCCATTGTAACTTTTTGATTGAGCGTTGTGGACTAATTTCGATTAGGCAGCATTTTTAACTCTTACCAATATGATGACCACCTACAGGTTGACCCCTTGCCCTAGAGTCGGGTTTGCTTGTCACAAATTGCTCCAGGAATTGATAAATTGTGCAGTGGAGAGCAACCTCATCCATCACATCAATGTCGTGTTGTGACTTGTGGGGATGGGGGTCAATCAAATCAAGATTTACAAACAAACCGCTGCCGAAAAAGTTTGGAAAACCCTGGTCTAACATTCTTTAGAGTTTGTAAACATCATTATATGTTCCATACGAACAAACTTAAAATAGGCATATAACTTCGAAACTACATTTACTTACGCGTTGAATCAATTTTTCAAACTCTGTTAATTTAAACTCTTATCTAACAAATTGCAAAATTACCTTAAGAACACTGCTGTTTTCAGACTTTTCAATTTCGACAATAACTGGTTTTCTTTTTAATTCTGCTGCCAAAGTTAAATTGGCACCTGTAAATGTATTACATGTAAATATAAACAGAAAAAAAGTCATAAAAGAATGCATAAGAACCCTAGAAGCAATTCCATGACGTTAATTGACGTAACAAAATCAGAATATCACATAGTAAATTCATACATAATACACTCTAATAGCAACTCTTAATTTGTTATGTTAAGCTAATAAGCAAAAAATTCATGAATTTATCTACAACAGACAAACTACTTACTGTTGGAATCGGGGGATGAATCTGTACTAGAAGTTTGAACTGGTTTTATAAAAGTGACAGAAGAAGATGTCATTGAAGTTTTTGTTTCCTCTTGTTCAGATATTTTTCTTGGCATTGACGATTTACCTGATATTTTTGTCATTTTACCTGTGTAATGCAGTTATAAGGTAAAAACGATATATATAGACAATTACATCAAATTAGAACATACATGCCACAAGGTATGTGCCATTATTCTGTGTTCAAGTTCCATAGCAAATTTGAAGCAATAAGAGAATAGGCTGAAACAGATAGAGATTTCAGAAGACTTATATTCACCTTTTCCTTTAGATTTCCTTTTAGCACCAAGTGATTTTGATGAATAAGATTTACTAATTGTACTACCAGTTGATGGTGCATAGCTTGATGTACTGTGCACTGACACATTGTCTTGCATATGAATCTGTAGGATGAGGTAGAATTATTAACTATTGCCCTATTGGGATATCAGTAAAGCACAAAAGAAGCAATTGTAATCAAATTCTGTGTAATGTGACTAGATGTAACAAAGTGTGGCAATATTCAGGTATACTATCTATCTCTATCATGTCATCAAATATACAACAAATTGGGTAAGCAATAGGCCGTTTTTCTGAAGACAACTTCATGTCTCAGTATCTGCTTTCTTAGAGAATAGAGACATAGAACAAAAGCGATAATTATCATTATTCGAAGTTGTCTGCAGCACTAAATATACTGCTTAGCTTCAACGAATCAAAAGCATTACCAAATTTATCGTTTGGTGCCATCATTTTGGCCAATGCAGAGCAACAATGACAGTGTGAGGCAGACAAAATTCCTACAACTTACCTGGACGGATGTTACAGCTGAATTTGGACCTGAACTTGTATTTTCATTTTCCTTCAATCTAAAAAATAAATAAATCGAAATATTGATTGAAAGATGATCACAGACACACAACCCTTACAAAATTTGAATTTGAATGACAATTGCAACCAGACAATAATTTGAAAAACAGCATGCCAATTCAATGAGTCTCGCATATACTTTTTGGTAAGAATGAATATGTATTTCCAATCACAAGTGATAAGAATGCATGTAAAAATTACAAGTTATTTTTATTTTTTTGCAATATGCTGGAAAAAATATATTGAGATTTATCGGTTCTTTGAGGAACTGGATTACCATGACCACAATCATTTCATGTGAAGACTGTTTTTCATTGAACTTTTCAACTACTTTACACTAACCCATTCCGAGGCTTATGGTATCATATAAACTTACTTATTATTGGCAGCATCAACTGTAGTTGCTGCCATACTTCCTGTGATACTGCCGGTAATACTTGCACCTGTGTTAAATGAAGTTAATAATACTCATATAATAAGTTATAATGGAATACAGGTACAAAATAGACAAGCACTTGAATTCTCAATTTTTTTATCATAAGCACTTCACACATAGGTACTTCCTACAAGGCTCTACACACTTCACTTAAAGGCTCTGCATTGATTATTCAATATACTGAATCCTATGGCAGATGGTGGGCTTCTGAGGTGGCCACTTATTTGAGGGAATAGTCAATTAAAAACTGTATAAGTATGAGAGACTATTCAGTATTAATATATTACAACATTATCCACTATAATACGCAATTTATTACTACCGAAAAGAAAAAAAAACTATGAACAAACCTGCAATGGCGGTCGTACTGGCACCGTCACCATCAATACGGTCAGCAGCACTGACATGAGATTCAGTTAAACTTGCCATGGTTAATCCACCGACACTTGCTTCCCCGATACTTGGATTTGTGATTGTCTGTCGAACTAAGTAAAACAAATGGATCAATTAAAAATATATTGGAATACAATTAGACTGAGATGTACAGGTTTGTGCTCATCGGGACTGGAGTTTGGAGTCGAAAAATATCAACTTGACTGAGCGTTCCTAACAGTTCATCAAAGAAGTCTTGCCAGCAACATAACATTTTATTATCAAATATGACCAATTTTAGAAAAAATTTCATGTTGCATTTTTAAAAATATTACTGCGAAATGATTTTGGTATAGAAACATTCTTTTGCGAGTCAGTGACAACAATTCACAACATTTTAACTAATTTCAGCTGCGTTCGGCAAGGATTTCTTATATCACTTATTACCAACTCTAAGAGAATTAGTTCACTCACTTCCTGTGACAATAGTTGGACCAGGTAGACTTGACGTATCATAACTCGCTTGACCACCACTTGCTGTTGGAACCACTGGTGATCCGAGTTCGATCCTCATTGCTGTCCTTGCTCTACCAGCTGCATTACGAGCAGCTAAACCATAGCTTCCAGTGCGACAGAGTGAAAAAGGCACAACACCGTAGACATATAACAACATTATTGGAACGCCAATTCCTGAAAAGCACAAGAAAAAATAAATATCTAAGCAATAGATTATGTTCACAATGCAGTAGGTGCATGGTCATAAAGTAAGAGAGTTGGATTTTACTATGTTGGCATCGGCGGTTAAAAACTTGGGCTTAAATCCTACACCCATCACCTCATCCAGGATGTTATAATTGGGTATGTAATGGCGAGCCAGAAAGCATCTGCTTGTGGTGAGGAGTGACTGTTTGTAGAGAGTCCTAGTTCAAAGTTTGCAGTATGTAAACAAAAATCAAATGAATATAAAATTTTTAAAATATTTGGGAATCAGATGAGCACCTTATAAGGTGATTTCAGCATAAAGTAAATTATAATATCATGAGAAAAAAGCTGACAACTTCTGGCATTTTTGCAACATGATAATGACTAATAAAAACAATGCATATTAGGATTATAAAAATTAAATAGTTTAGGTTAGGTTTTTTCCGGGCTATTTTAGGCGAATAAATGACAATATCAGGCATGAAGACAGTACATTTGTCAATTAAAGATTACTTAAAAATACTGAATCAAATAAGTATTGGGAATGCCAAGATATTTTGGCATCAAACTGAATACCCTTGTTCTAATATACCTTAAACATTAGAATATCCTAACTTACCAACAGCTAAAGCTGCAAGAAGAGGAGAAACAACAATAGACAACATAACACATGCAGCAACTGCAGAATTTCGCTTGTGTTTAGATTCTGAGCGGTTGGCAAATTGTGCCATCACCTGAATATATCAATTTAAATCAGTCAATCATCAGTTATTTGATATTATTAGTAAATTGATATGCAATACAAGTTAAAACATTCACGATTTTGTACGGCGAATGGTTATTGTTTAGACTTTCTTTTAGCTGCTGTTTTGCTGGCAATGATGCAATCGAAACTGAAAATTTCTTAGGTGTGGGCATTTGAATAACGTCATTAGAATAAGATCATATTCTCAGCTATGTTTTAAAATAATAAATATGCAATAGCAGTTCAGAAAAGTCATATGGATATCGAAAATAAATATACATCTGGCATAATGCAGTCAGGATAGACTAAATACCAATATTATTTTAAACAATTTTGAAAATATAAAAATATGCATTTTTATTCATCTGAGAACTATTACAAAAATAGGACATTATTCAATAACTAAAATAAGCTTTTAATATCCCATTCGAGCAAAATACACAAAAAAAACTTGATCCTCAAATTATGTCTTTATTAATCTTGATCCAAAAATATATCAAGAGATATTTTATAATAAATTTAATGAACCAGTTAGTTAGGGAGTCTGTATCATCCATAAACAAATACGAAATATAACATATAATATCAGTATTAAAAGAGCAACTCACGCGTCTGGCAACCCATATTGGGAGTCCAATAACAATTGCTGGTACGGCAACACCTGCAACGAGACCAATTCCAAGGGGAGCTCCGATGAGAAGTCCAAGTTGCCATAAAATTTTCTTTTTTCTGCTCCAAGGTTTTTTGCCCCAAAAAGTGCATCCGGAGGGACTGAAAACAAAAAACACAAGGACTAATTACGAGGAATAGATTCAGCACTCCAGAAGTGTGTGTACCAATATGCAGGTAGCTAATTTTGTTCGCCTACTTCACATCAAGTTGTGTAAAGAGACGGAAGCCTATTAGCAGGGGGTATATTCACTTGACTAACACACACAGTCCCCGAACTCGCAATAGAACTAAAATGAGGAAAATCAATATAAAATTATGCGGTAACACTAACCTGGTACACACGACACAGGTGTACCATAGATTCTTCAATAATTGCTTTATTTAGTGTATTTATAGCAAGCCCTTAAAAAGACTGGTACTGGTAACAAGAAATCGATATACAAAATAAAAGAAAGTTTATTCTTATTAAACATAAAGAGATGCGATGAAGCCATTAACATCTGCTAACAGAAAGGAAACAATATGAATGGATATAAATAATTATTTTTCATATAAAACATCATTTTTGGATGGGGTATTTTTGTGTGAAAATTTGTTAAAAAATTCAGACAGCAAAAATTTTATTGAAATCAAGTTCATAATCTGTGAAAATTTTACATTTTACTTCAATATAAAACTATTTAGATGATTATATTAAAACAAAATTAGTTTGATAATTTGATTTTTAAGTACTTTCCAAGATAATCACTCAGAATGTAGATTATCTAAATTATCCAGATAGACACATTTTTAAGTTTACACTGATATGAACTGCATTGTAACAACAAGCAGGAATGTATATAAGGAATCCAAAATACCTATCAATTCTAAATTATTTATATTCCATATTTTAGTTTCATCAAAAAAAATATCAAGTCTCAAATAATAAGTTCAAAAATTTTGAAATGTAGCCAACCAATCAAATCGCTGTTTATCCCAATTCCATGCATTTCGAGCAAATGACTAATAAAAATATACATCAATTTCTTTGTGTATTTTATTGAACATGATGTAATTTAAAATATATCCGATATTTCATATTCAAAAATATTATTACATAATAAATTCAGAATTAGATTATTTGGTTTTTGGCCATTCTCGGTAACAAAGCTGAGTGTGATTCGATTTCTAAAACTTGTTTTACATAATACCGTAATCAATTTTACACTCTATTAATGCAAGGTTTGGTGCACAAAAAGCAATAATAAGAATATTTATTGCACATATCAAAGTTTTCAAAACAATCATACTGTGCCGCATCACCTTGCTCAATTATTCTATGGCCCAAGCTAGATCAAGTCTTAACATTGGACATTTCAACATAGGTGGTGGTCTCTATTGTGTATTCATATAAACATTTTAAAGGGCGTATCTAATTTTACCTCAACACAAATGAAGAATTGTGGCGTTGTTCGCCATATGTTATACAAAGCCGCCCCCATGGAGAAAGAGGTTTCTAAGTAATGTGCTACGACTGATTTTGAGTTACGCACGAAGAGTAGGGAAACACGACTACTGAAAGCGGAAAAGGATTTAATATCATGTTATCTGGTATTAAGTAAAAAAATACAGTGAATTTCTGATATATTATTTAAATTTTAAAATTTGTTTTCCTAAATTTTTAGATCTATCAATTCACAAAATAAATTATCGATACATAACAGAAATTGATATGGAAGTGACTCTGGCAATGACTTATGTATCATGTCATTGAATGGTATTTTCCGAGTAACCATGGTATAAGTACATTGAATATCATTATGGAGTCATAGCCAATTAATCGTATCATCATTAATCAGTATTGAAAGTACTACTGACACCGCTGTTGAGCCACACATATAATACCTATTCACAGTCATGGAAGCTTGGTATAGAAACCAAATTACGCCATATTTAAGAACGTAGGCTACAAAGTGTATATTTGAACAGTAGCGTACGCTATAAAACTAGATTAAATTTTAGTATTTACTAAGATAAAAAGATATATAGGCTATTGCACAATAATCTGGATATATCAGAGATTTGAAAAATAAAACGTGATTTTGATTCAAATTGTAGAAATTTTCTCCAAAAATTGCAAAAACTTGTAATTTTCGATTATCTAAAATCACAAGTAAAAATTTCAATTTCATAAAATAACATCATTTTAAATTTCATTCAAACTGAATTCTTTGTTGATCCATAGCAATGTTGCGCATTTTTTATATTGTAATATTAAAAAAACTTCAAGACAAATTCAGTATTTTAATAAAATGTTAAACACGAACCTCAAATAGTGAAGATCTGTAATTTCTTGTAGACATAACCAACAGAATTCAGCTTCACAAACGGTACATGTCATATGATTACAGGAACCATCATTCATTTTGGCAATTAACGCTCCACATTTTGGGCAGGGTTTTATTTGATCTAAAAATAAGAAATGGGACAAGGATTAAAAAAAAGTAATATGATAGTATATTCTCCTTTATGAAAGCAGAAATGAGAAAATTAAAAAAATTCTTCAGTGAGGTCATCTTATTCATTTATGAACTTTGTAGCCACATGACACACACTGATTCATTGTGATGTAACAGGTTAACTAGAAAGATCTATTATTCAAAATTTCACAGAAGGGTGTGAATAGGACATGCTTCACCAGTTTTCAAAGTTCTGCGAAATGAATTACTCGTGATGTTACAAATACATGTTGTTATTCTTATGCAACAAAGTCTGAAACAAAATATGTATACATCACTTAGGCAGTGGGTCATGTAAGATTGATTGAATAAATTAATACAAAGCAATACTAAATATATAACGTTTTGGTTTCTGAATAACTGAATATCAGCAATTCCATCAAGTCGTAATAATTCACTCATCAGTTTATGTCAATGGCTCAATACCCTATGTGCCTGATCATTTATAAACATGTATACTGTTGAATGACTAGCCATAACGAACAGTTTGTTATACTGGTGCGCAAAAATAAACCATCATAATCTGTCAAGTAATATCATTAGGCATCAAGTTTCACATACAAAATGCCATAGAAACTCGTCTCCATATGAAAAACACCAATAGAAAGCAATACCACATGAGTGCTTAATTCAGTCAGTTTTGGCCAGTACATAGTCCATCAATGGTGCAATATATGTCGTAATATTGCTTTTTGAGTCATAGCATTATTTATATCCGCAGGTAATACATTCATTGTTTTTATAACCCAATCGATACTTGACTATCACCAATACGCCTCTTAAAAGAGAGATAGGAAAATACCTAATGGTGCAAATGCATCAAAAATATTCTCTGAACAACATGTGATGACCGATACTGGTAACTGTATAAAAAATATTCTCAAAAGATCAAAAGTGAAACTAACAATGGCGGCCTGATGAGCCAGGAAAAACACCAGGAGTTGGAACGGAAATTTAGTCAGAAAAGCCAGGGAAACTCCTCTAATAGCAAACTATATAACGGGTATTTAAAAAAAAACAGGTATTTCCACTTCCACATTAAATAGCGAAGTGTTATTGAAATACTTTTTAGTATGAATACTCATGAAAGCGATGGTCAAAATCAAATGATCAACAATAGCCCTACTATAAAAAATTTTTTCGAGTATAAAATATATTCTTAATTGAGGTGTGTTTAACAGAAAATTTTAACAAATTATTGTATATTCATATATTAAATCTGGTAATACAGAATAGTTGAGACAAACATTGTGTTGATTGATTTTCTATAATTTTACAATGAGGAATTAAATGAAACCTATTTCATGTTTTACCAACAGTTGTTGAAAGATTGAGTCTTCTTAAAATAAGTTTTTGAATGAAACTATTTTTCTTAAATTTATGTTTACTGTATAGCATATCATCAACTAAGAATGCGTTTGGGTTTTCGATTCGGTTTGAACATTCCATACTCAAATAATATCCAACTGAACGATAAAATCAACCAGATGAAAACCTACCATTTGCAGCAGGACCTTGACTATATGCCGTGGAATTACTTCGAAGACGTAACTGTTTCGTACGCTGCAGGTGTGCAGAATCACACGTTTGATCAGGATGCCATTCCTAGAAATATCAATTACTTGTTATTAATGTCATGGAAATATGAATTCAACTATCAGTATATAATATAGGTAATAATCAGATTTATTTATATTCTGTAAGTTACATTCGAGTATGCACGATAAAAATGCAGCTAAATGTATACAGTTCAAGCATGTATGTGTATCCTAATCACTAAATGAATAAACAACAATTTAAAAGAAGTATCAGTTTAATAATATCGCCATGGACTTATAATACAGTGGCAAGCACAAGCAGCATATGGAATTCGGAAATAGAGCAATATGGTTTCGCATATCATTGGTGTCCCTAGACATTTGACTTGACGAAACTATTTTTGTTGGCCCAATGCGTAGAGTTATTGATCCTTGAGAAAGATCCGAAATACTTCTATTTGCATATTAGTGAGTATTTACATATAATAGTATAATATATCCACTCGATAGTATAGGAATGTGAATTATAAAACAACAGACAAATATCAGTTTTGTTAAACAAAAAGTAATCTTTATTATATGCTTTTGTGATGGCAGATTTTAAAATACCAGTATAATACATAATGCTAGTCCTAGTGAAACAGATTTCCAAACTATCAATATCCGAAATAATACAAAGCAATGTCTTTCTCTTGATTTCATTTGCTCGGTTAATGGGTTACATAAAAACTGCATTACTTTTTCCATTAAAACTTTTTTAAGATTATGAACGGCTATTATAAGCATTTTTTAATAATCTATGAAATGATATTTTGACATGGATTTCCAATTTATTTGGCATTTTTAATTCAAAAGCCAACTATTAACAACTTCAAAGTGAAAAATTTATATAACTTTAACTTGAAACAAACCCAACTCTCTATGAAGACAAAAACATGTGAAATATCTATCTGAAAGCTCAATATAGTTATAAAGTCAAGCAATTGAAGCCCGATATCGTTTTCACTTCTATTTCATTTTTTGATGCAACCAAATCTTTTACCATAAGACCAGGTTTGGTTATGTCAATAACAAGCTTGAAAAGTCACAAACCTGTCTGCAGTGATAACAGAAGTCAGTGTTACATCCCGGCCTATCACAGTGGATTTTTGGGCAGCTTGCACATCCGTGAGCTATAACGGCAAATCTGTTGAAAAAAATGTTAGACATATAAAACCAAACAGATGGACAAAAATCATATTGCATGAACAGTTAGATAAAAGCACTTTCATATTACAGTACAGAAAACGAAACACTTCTGACTTCCCATCCAAAATAACAAAAAGGCAAAACTGAGAAGTTTCAAGATTTGCAAACAGTTACAAAGATAAAATTGGGTGGGGATAAAGAGAAGTACAGGGTGTCCATAAAGTCCCTTTACAATTTCAATTTTGTTAGGAAGTCAGTTCTCAATATATCTTAATCAGGTTTGTTACTTTTTAATCAGTAATTGTTGAAGTATTTTACTTCATATCAGACATCGATATATGATAACGATAAATTCCCTTCACAACTTAAAAAAAATTTTAGGACTCTATGAAGACATGCTTGCATTAAACAACAAAGTAAGCCGAATTTCAAAGTCCAATTACAATAGCCAATGAGAAAGTTTGAATCTAAATTATTTGATCGATTTTTGATATCATTGAATATCAAGGAGCCGTTCCTAGCTACTGGTTTATTTACTACAGCATATGACGAACGCATAATTGATGGCGATCAATAGAGATACCTACTCTACCTTCAAATAAAAGCATCATAAATTATCTTATGAAGATATTGGAAGTGGCTGGGAATTTCATTGAAAATACTTTGCCCGTAAACAGTATAAAATTAACCGGAAACCCATTGTTGGTGTCAGAAATGCAGTATAAAACAAAATCACCACAATTTACATATAATATTAAATTTAGGCTGTTATGTTACGATTCTATTTGTCTGGTCTTTCCTGAGATGGTTTAAGGATCAAAGTAAACAAAATGACTATATACCAGGAATGGGCAAGTTTTTCGGACCTGAAGCCAGAAATTTGTCCATCTAGACTGGCGGGCCACATAAGTGTGACGTAAAACTTACATTTTCTTGAACAATACAGTGTTACAAAAACAAAAAACAATAAGCGCTGTGCCGAAACTAAATATAATCACAATCTTAACAAATTCCTTGATTATTTTTTAGCTGAAATATCAAAATTTGGATTCAGTTTGGTTATGGCAGCATCAGGCGGGCCAGGTTGAATTACCCAACGGCCGGATTTGTCCATGTTAGCTATATACACTATGCCAGGTCATTCCTTTACCAATAAGATGCATGTACACTTTTATAGTGGACCACAAAAAACTTTTTCATTGAGGACCACAAAAAACAATGGTAGCCTACCAGCTGAGAAAATATAGAGTACCACACGGCATAACAGATATTAACGCTCAAAATTATTTGCAAGCATTATTAAGCAATTATTAATAAGGCCAGTTTTATACAGCAATTTTTATAGCAAAGGAAGGAATGGAAATGTATTTTTAAAACAAGCACAAAAATATCTGACATGCAATTTGAAATATACCTAGTTGGATATGGTGACAACTTATCAAAAAATGAATGAATACATCAAGTTGTACGGTCATAGACATAGCAAAGTACTAAGACATAAGCCTAATGATATTATTTTTTGATTCACGTTTTTGTTCCCACTTCAATGTCTCCAATTATGATTAAATACTTTAGAAATAAACTCCATTTCGGGGACTGTCTGTGTTAGCCAAGTGAATATACCCCCTGCCCATAGGCTTCAGTGCCTTTACACAACTTGATGTAAAGTAGCCGAACAAAATTTGTTACCTCCATATTGGTACATACACTTCATTAATCAAATTAGAAAATAGTATTTTGTTTATTACGTAAACCAAAATGAGAATATGGATTACATTATTAGCATCCAGTCATAATAGGATAGAACTTCATTGTTATCAAAAGGGAGAAAAGAAATGGTGAACCAAATTAGACATAATGTAAACAAACAGCAATTATAAGAGCATGCTCTGCCAGTTTATTAGGCCTTTTTGAGTTCAAATATATTCAACAACATTCCTCAGTTGAATAATAAAGATCAATATCATTTGTTACACCCATGCCTTTATAATATCTGTCTGAGCGGCCACATGAATTTCAACTGTGACGTCATTCTGACTAATTGCTGATTGGTCCTTGTAACGAATATAATAAACAAGGAAATCGATGGTTGAGGGCTTACACGCTCCAAATCGCCTTGCATTCGTGATTTAATCCACATGATAGTATCAGTAATTACTTTTACTTGTGATATACACACAAATGCGGCAGCATCAATAATAATTACAGCGGAGATTTTCAAGATTCACCACATGAGAACACAGATTCAAGAATATGGTATACAATGCAATATAACAACAAAAAAACACAGAATCACTGGTACATGGGTTGGGAACATGCGCTCATAATATGCTCCGCATAATCAACGAAATAATGTATTATGTTTTTCTTTAGAAAGATGCAATTTATACAATGGCCGAACTATTTATAATCAAACTAAAAAAGTATGAGAAAAGTATTTTAAATATCAAAAATTTGTAAAGCCGATGCAAAATTTTTCTTATTCATGTAAATGTATGGGTCACTCTGTTATCATTATTAATAACATCATGATGACGCAAATATTCTATCAGATATACTTAACTATATCTGTTGAAATAATATTTCAAAAAATATTTGATCATCATATTTGATTTGACTAGGGTAAAAAAGTTAATTTTGCTTAGCAATACATAAAATAGGTTTTAATTTTACAGATATTTTTCAGCAATTACATGCACCTATTTTCATTCAGAACTAATGGTGTGGAACATGGACATAAAAGAATTTATTTTCAACCCTGACAATCCCTAGATACACCCACACGCTGCAATCAATCTATTTTGAAGTCCATTTTTCCCAGCACTCAATATTATTGATTTGTTTCAAGTGGAATTCCCATTATTATCAAACAATATTGATAGCTAGCTTATAATGCCTACGACTCTGAGAGGGAAAAACATTAATATGTTGACTGAAATGAACATGATAATAAATTTTTATTGACTAGGTCAAAAGGTCATATTTGTATTTGATAACAAAGAAACAAATTATACTAAATTATACCAAAGTTTAATAATATATTGTTTATTTTAATAAGTTATGTTGCTATTTTATAAACTTTATCACTTTTACCAAAACATTGTGTATGACAAAATAGATTTTTTTCTGAGTATGGACCATAATATTGGCTAATCAGCAATAATTTTTCACTGGGACAGATTTTCAGGGTTTGTGATAAACATTAGCTTGTTTTTGTTGTTTCGTCGCTTTTGTCAGTTTTTAGTTGTGTTTCCTTGAGTTTTGATATAAATCAAATAACTCAATAGACAACAGTTTTCGAAATAGCTAAGATAGACTAGACTGAATATTTTTAAATTTTGAATTGAAATGATGGTTGTGAAACATGCAAACAAGTGGCAACTCGCAATAACAGTTTCAAGAGAATCATAAAATATTTTTCAATGGTCATGTATAAAAAGAAAAGGATTTTCCTGTGTTCAAGAGGAAATCAATTTACAGGCTCCAAAAAAGAAAATACTCACCCACAATCTGGTGCTGGGCACCACCTACAGTCAGGATCTACCGACAGACATCGACGGAGTGTAAACTCTTCCCATTTTTCTATGAGTTGAGGAGAATTTTTTAAAATCAGTTGCATGTCAACAGGGTGAATTTTCTCTTGGCATTCAGGGCAGGTTACATTAACCCTGAACGCAAAAATATCGATACAGTGGTTAGGTAGTGACAGACGAAGAACAGATGGAAAACAAAAAATAATTGTAATTCAATTTCAATTGCTTTTGTGAAATAGAAGACAGATGAATCTGCATCACTTGAGAAGCGACCATTCAAACGAAGTTCTTTCAGAGATGAGCAATTTCAGATTTCATTATAATTTGGATTTAATAATAGCAAACTTATAATTATGGATGTCGCAAGATTTTTATACATTTATCCCAATTTTGATATTTTAATCGAACTAAATTATTCAAGACATTATCATCGAAAGAATATAGGAATTCAACTTAATATACAGAATGGGCAGTTGTACCACTAGCACAAGATTTATTTCATGTGTTATTAATTCTTAGTATTTGCCATACCGAAGTAATAACTTCCTCGTTTTTTTTTTTTTAACTATGATAGTTTAATCAAGTCATAGCTAGAAATAAATTGTCCTAGTGACTTTCGTCGCTTCATGAGTTAAAATAGTCGTTTGGTAAATGAATAAATTTATCGAAATCATGAATATTATGTAAGAAGTATGCCAAAGTTTTATATCTCTCTTGAACTATTTGAAATGAAGTTGAAAATGTTGGGAATGATTCATGGATGAGCTTTAGTAAAATAGTTTAAAGAAGTTTAAGATATATAAAGTTATTATAATAATGCTACAATTGAACAGGCATTCAATATGACAGCCAAAGAAAAGATATGGCAATTGTAAAATTTTTGAAAAGAGTTCTTACATACTGATTTGGCATAAGTTGTTTTACCGTTTTCTACATAATATTCCATATAACAACAATAATTACGATTAGTGCAGGATTATGTTAGCTGTTGCTTATTACATTTACCAAACTGGTATTTTGTTACAAAAAGCACTAATATGCCTGAGGCAATTTAAAGTTTCAAATTTCGGTTCTTATTTCCAATGACATACGAAAATGCATATATACAATTTCATCTTATTATCGAGTATTGAACATGGTCAATTGACTGATGGCTGAGAAATTTACTATTACCAGTCCACGCTTGGAATGAGTACAATTCAATGCCACCCAAACTTAAATGGAGAAACCAAGTAATGACGTTTTTCTGTAGTTTCCAATATTAGAATAGAAATTTGTAACGCAAGTTCCATAACGTAAAATTACGTCACTGTCTACAAAAATAGGCAATTATCGTCCAAAATAAAAATTGAGACTAATAACATGACAACCATCATCAAAAATTATGTTATGGGAAAAATATGATACATCGCAATTGGCAAATAATGAAAAATTATAAATTTATAAGCTATGAAAACCAACCTGCTTTCCGTAATCTCAATCATTAAATATTGTCGAAGACAGTCGATACACGAACGATGAGGACATGTCATCAAACGAGGAAAATTATCAACACTCTGAAAAATATCACAGTTTTCAATATATATGAATAAAGACATAATACGTGCAAATCGTCACCAAATTACAAACAAATGGCACCAAAATGAACTTTCTTTAGCCATAGATGTCTAGTCGTAACAACACTGTTCAGCTTGCAATTAAATGGGCAGAGTTCAAATGACATTGTGTTTGCGTCTTTTTACATCAAGCATTATTAATATCAATAGACAAAGATTGTTAAAATGATTTTGAAATATCATTCCTTATATAAATCTGACTATATCAACTATTTTAGTATTTGAATAAATTTGAGTACCAACGTACGTTACTCATGGTCATGGTATAAAATTACCCTACCGAGAATGAACAGAAACTTAACAGAGAATTACCATAAAATCCCCAAACAGAGTAAATAAAACCTAATGTTTACTCACGAGTTGCAAAACAATCAAAACCTTAGGAAGAACATTAATGATTTTGCCTTAATCAGCAGAACTATTACTTCTGAAATCATTGAAATAAAGCACACTAATGGAGCCAACCTGTAGATTGAGGCACAAAGGACATTCTATAAATGTAGGATCTCCAGAAGAGGTAGAATCTTGTTTTCCTAAACTCTTGGAATCTGAGACTGCACAAGTTGCTCCTAGAACTGAGAGATTCAATAGTATGAATAGAAAATATATCATAACTCATAACTATACGAGGTGTGGCTAAAAAGAAACGAGACTGACGTCACAGATTGCGCAACACGATTAACCATTGGTAATCAACACTTTTACAGTGTGGTGTAATATGTGTTCTTTGTTCAACAGCTTTTTTGACACAATATCGCAATTATTTTTGCTCTTTAGGAGTCGTAGGTGAATGTGATTAATTGCTTGTTGAAAAAAAAATTGCCGTGCGAGATCTGATTGAGTTTTTTGGCGATAGGGGGTTCAATTGCAGAATGACGATTGGGCAAAGAGTTAACATTAAATTTTGTGTCAAACTTGGAAAAATGCATGTCAACTGGGCAACATTTAATCGTTGAGCTTTCTGCTCCTCAGTCAACAGCCTTGGCACCATTTTGGCACTCACCTTTCACAAGCCAAAAGTGTCAACCAAACTGGTGCGAACCGTTTTTTTTTTGTCTTTTCCAACTTCGCAATGACGCGAATTGTTGAGCGACGGTCGCTGCGAATCAACTGCCTTTCACAACTGAACTCACAACTGATACCTTTTCGATGTTGGTATCAGTTGTGGAAGTGCAAGGCCTTCCTGACTTCGAATCATCCTCCACATCCTCCCTGCATCCCACAAATCGCTTGTGCCATTCAAAAACTCTTGTTCTGGACATGGAAGAATCTCCATAAACATCACACAATTTCTTCAAAGTCGCAGTCGCCGTTTTTCCAAGTTTGACACAAAATTTAATGTTAATTCATTGCTCAATCGTCATTCTGCAATTGAACCCCCTATCGCCAAAAAACTCAATCAGATCTCGCACGGCAATTTTTTTTTCAACAAGCAATTAATCACATTCACCTATGGCTCCTAAAGAGCAAAAATAATTGCGATATTGTGTCAAAAAAGCTGTTGAACAAAGAACACATATTACACCACACTGTAAAAGTGTTGATTACCAATGGTTAATCGTGTTGCGCAATCTGTGACGTCAGTCTCGTTTCTTTTTAGCCACACCTCGTACAGTGTGAAGCATTTATCCATGGCCATAAATTATAACCAAAATGTTTATACCTAGACAAGCTATTTAGCGCATACTAAAATAGAAATAGCAATTCATAATGCTATAAGTTTAGGAAAATTTGAAAGGAATTATTTATATCAAAGGGACGTGCCAAGTTCATAACAGAAATAAGAATTTGGATATTAAAACAAATAGATTGCGCATAAATATAGCCGACATCATAGAAAAAATATTGCCAATTAATGGGCAATTTGGAAAAAATCTCATTTCTTTTTACTTCCTAATTTATACAGAATCTGCTCCATAATTATTTTATAATAACATTGATTGCAGTATTTTTAACTATTACATGTTGATTAAATATGGAGTCAGAAGGTACAAGTACACAGAATTACAGGCAATTTTATATTATTGATTCATTATTAATGATGTCATAAATAGGTTACCAAAGTTATGGAAAAACAAAAAATTTACTTATGAAAAAATTTTGGCCACTAGTCAGTCTTATAGGCAAGTTTTTATTATATATCAAATAAAAAACGAACCAAGAAAACAAACGCACAAGCAAAATTTAACTACATAGAATTATTCAGTGAACTCATATTCACCATTCTGACAAAATAGCAATTTCAAACAATATTTTTTTATGATGGCAGTCTACAATTTGGAATGTTGTTCATAAATACCATTGTGCCATTTCCTAATGCTAGGTATGGACTACTATCTATTAATCAGGCACATTTGGACTAGTACCAAGAGACCAATAAAAATTAAAAGTCTAGACATATGTTAGCTTATATATTAGCTACTGTACTGAAAATGTAATAGTGACGGCGGAACAAAGAAAAGTTTTATTTCTTTCAAAGAAAAGTTTCATTTCTTTTATCGATTTGCACAACACTGGTCTTGCCTTATCATAGAATAGTAATAATATATAGAATGGGAAAAACCTGCTCGACCTTTATTAATATGGTTAAATATTATCCCGAAAAGAATGTTACAATTGTGAACTATGTATACTTTTAAGATATGTGAAACGAATTTTGGATTTGCTTAGCAGTAAATATGAAAGTGAATTGCTCGGCTTGTTTCCTAAAATATAAAACCTTCCTTCATTCCAGTGTCATATTTTCTTCAAGCAGTCCAGGAAGCTTATTTTCACATTTTATTCGTTTGGTTTTGCCAAGTTTTGCATAAGATAATTGGAATATAACTTTCCAACATCTTTCAATAACAATGATACATGAACACGAAAAAAGAAGCGTCATTAGTTGTGTGCCACCAGAAATATGTGTTAAAAGTACTATAAAATGTATTTGAATTTGATTTTGTGTGAAATAAGCTATAATTTCATGTGTATATCACCCTGAATTACGTTTCAGTAACACATACGGTATGTATACATGAAGCCTCCACAGTGAGCTTTTTATTTCCTTCATTGAATCATGGTTATGTACAGTGGAATAATCTTGATGTAGTTTAATAAATGATGTTGATATATTTGTAACTGTAATTCATCAGCCCTTTCACATAACTTCATGGAAATTTATTAAATACAAAAACGAGGAAAAATGAACGGTTTTGACATTTCTATGATTCAAATGTACAGTAATCACTGGTATGGTAATTATTTTGTAAAAAATTACGATCATTAGTAATAAATAACTCTTATTTATTATTCTATATCAGAATGTGACAACCGATTCTCCAATGAGAATTGCGGTCAATGTTTTTATTAATATTCTAACATATTCGAAGGAGAAATGTCATATTATAGTATCGTGGGAATAGAACTGTCTACGATATATGATATATTAGCATGATACGAAGTTCACGCCCTTATCAGAGAGTTAAATCTGGTCCATATTTATGATAGATATATAATGAAAGGTTCCAGCGATAGAATAACTAGTATTTTTTATTGGCAAGACATAATTATCATTTTCTGCTGAGCATCCATCTATTTTAGATTTTAATATGTGGTGGTCAAATTGGTACTTCATAGAATCTGTTCCACAAATTCCCTGCTGGAGCTGACTGTGCGTAAACCTCAGATATTATTCCTCTTTTTTCACTTGATTTATATCAGATAAATGAGTACAATTAGTCTGTCCAATAAAGAAAATATTTTTAAATTACCTAGCCTTGAAAATTGGGTTATTTAATAAAGGCTGTACAGTACACAATTGCTGTTTCGATTAATTAATCCAACAGTTCTTACCTGCGTTTTCACTTGGCACACTGCCAATTGTAACTGCATCGCCTCTTGATGAGTTTCCTAAAGAGGCTAAATCCCCAAACATGCTCAAGTTAGAAGGAATAGCTTCTGTACTTGAGTCCCCTGCTTTTGTTTCAAGTTCATCATGCTTATATTGGCTTTTTGTGTTGCAGTATGGGAACCTGTAAGATAGGAGTATTCCATGATGAGATTATAATATTTGTGAAATAATTAATCGGGCTAAAAATATCAATTTAAGTGAAGTTCAAAAATCATACTTGAATACAATAGGTATGATAATATTTAGTTAGGTAATAATTGAAACATTAACCAATAGGAAGAAAAGTTAGGAGTTATGTTTAGACTTGAGAACCACTTATGCCAGTATGATACACAATGTAGTCAATGTAACCAGAGTGATGTCAACCCCTAGGAAAGAAGTTAAAAAAAACTTAATCATTGAAGTAAACACCGTTGAACTAATTAAAATTCTGCTTCTAAGGCATGTCAATATCTTTATTGCAGTTCAGGCAATAAAAATAATGTTTATCAATAAAAGCAGTCTCAAGGGGAGTTCACTAGGATAGAATGAGGGATATAATTGATGTGAAATTACATTTTCCCATCAATAATAAACTCATTGGTTGGCTACTACATTAATATTAACAACAGTATACGATCAGTATCACAGAGGCAGGGTGACAAAACTGAAGTTTGCCCATCAGTCATACACAAAATTGAATGCGTTTAATAAAGTGAAATTGCACGAGACCACAGATCTGTCAAACAAACATATGTTGGATATGATCATTTAGCCTACCTTATTGTTTCATATTGGCTTATCATTTGTTAGTTGTGTAACAAGATTACAGTGATAAGTCATTAGACATAGCCCCAGGCTGTTTACAATACAATGCATTTGTCATATTTTGATATAACCAGGTGTTGCATTTTTCAGAACCATAAAATACACTGGGCCCTTACAGACTCCTAGGTAGATTTAAATTTCATTGCAATACATCTATGGCCATGGTTTACCAAAATTGTCGGGATGTGTACGGTATTTTGGAAATATATAAATACAGTATCGGTGTGTTAATCCACTAAGCAAATCCCAAATAGCCAAAAGGGGATCGAAATAACATATGAAAACTAACCTTATCATAAAGCATAGAATAACATATATATTCAAGATATTATGACTGATGACATTTTAAAAATCCCCAGCTGCAAGATATACGTCATCATATCATATTGTGCCTATGTATTGATCCAGTAAGGTTATATCACTGAATTGGATATACGGTAGATATCCAAAATAGGCTACGTGTAGAAGATTAATCACGTATACAAAAACCTTAATATTTAAAATTATTAGAGAGCATGCTCCAATATGCTATATTAATATCAGCTATAAGAGGCAGACTATAACAGTATGCTACAAATGGTAGTTCATTTAGAAGATTATTTATATTTTAATTTCATAAATAGGCGGGGATTTTTCCTGTCCATGGAAGTGACACGGTTGAATAGAGGTATCAAAATAAAGTAATTTGGCACTCAATGAATCATTAACTAGCAAATCACTTTGATGTGCGCAGGACATGTTCGTCACCAAACTCATGATTAGGAAGATTCGAAAGTAACAATGCCTGAAGGCAAATGTCGCATCACGATAACCTTACGTGATATGCAAATAAATAAAAATTGGGTGTGTGAGAAGCGTAATTCAAACTTCTTGAAAGTTGCTTATTATTTAGGAGAAATTACTAATAGTTATATTTTGATGAAAAAAGGCCAATAACATTGAGTCAAATATAATTCAATAGCTTTAATAAAATTTGAAATAAAGTGATTTGGTGAAAATGAGAGATTTATGCTAATCCCGAAGTATGTGAACCAAGATGGCGAACACCAGAACATAGTATGTGTACCAGGTTGGGGTTAGGTGATAATTTTATTCCACTTTTCCTTATTTTAGTTCTATTACGAGTTTGAGGACTAGTCAAGTGACTCCTGCAGTATTTATACCTGAAATTATGGCCTAACCCTAACCGGGTAAACATACTATGTTCTGGTGTCCACCATCTTGGTTCACATACTTCGGGAGTACCAGATTTATCATCATGTCTATAATTGCATCTATTAGGATAAATACTGAAACAACAATTTTTATTGCCTCCAAAATGACTCAAGGGAAGCTATATCAGTTTCTACTGGTTTTAAGAACAAAACAAATGATACACAAAGGAATGATAAATAATTTGCTTATTTCAATGTCTTTTGTCCTTCACAATTCAAATATCAACACAATGATCACTGACCTGAAAAACCTGAGTATCCGTCGTCTGTTGCTGTTGTGTTTACGTTTTTTACTACTTTGACTTATCCCATCTTCACTACTTGACATATTGAACAATGTTAAAGAAAATATTGTACTATAGTTCCAGTGACATCAATCGTACCAGTGTACATGAAACTAATATCTCCAAATAGGTTGAAAGAGGAAACTTATATACAATCAAGAACTTCTATGTTACAACTAAATAGGTAATTTTATACAGTGTATTCTATAGATAAACAAAAATGATGATTTTACTTGAATCTAAAGAACGAACAGTATATTTTATAATAATTTTTTTTCACATCTATTTTTAAAAACTAATTTTATTGAATCTCAAGACACAAATCAACACATTTTAGTGATTTATTATACTTTTGAATTGACTGATTTTTGTCCTAACATAGCAGCAATGACAGTTTGACATTGAGATTAAATTGTTTCAAGGAGTAGCCTAATAAAGTAGACCAGGTCTGATTTTCTACACATAAATTAATTCATCATATAAATTAATTAAACTCTGTATTGGTTCCTAAGTCCATATAATCAACATTAATTCCTACAACATCCTGGTGTATTAAAATTAGAAATACAGTGTCGATGCAAATATCGCTAAATAAAGTAACCTCCTGAACTTTATTAATAATATGGTATGCCTATCTCCAACAAGCACAAGCTAAAAATAAAAGCTGTTGATAAAATATAGGTGACAGACTGTTGAAATAGTTTCTTTGATCTCTGTTCATTGCCAAAGGGCCATGCCTGAATAGTACTAAATAAAAACTGTTATACAAGCACAAATAAATTTTTCAAAACAAATTTATAACAAAAAGACAATAAAGTAATAGTCGAAAAACAAGGCAAGGAAAAAAATAAGTTCTTCTTGATATGGGAAGAAATGATTACAGATAAATATAAGCAAAGAAGACATGACCAAGCTCTGATTTTGAGAACAACTATAAAGCTCTACAGAACTAGGTTATACTTATTCATATACTGAATAGGTTAAAAAATTTCCAGTCTTTTACATGTTACTGAAAATTATAAGTAGCCTACTACATCAAAAATATTAAAACGTCAACTAATTCTATTATACCTTCCTAAACTGATTGATGAAAAAGAAATACCAATTCATGAAAAGACATGTGGTACCTATTAAAACACTAATAAGAATATTAACATAATTTGATCTCATTGATGGAAGCAATAAGCAGGAAACGGCATATTTTAACAATTGAATATCTCCCTTTCATGCTGTGTAGACAGTACAAGCTACCCATTTACTAATTCCTCAGACAACAGCTACATTCCAGGGCACTCCATTCAATATCTCTAACCTTTTAAATTTCATCAAGCCTACTTAAGGATCTAATAACAACTGAAGTGCTCTCCATTTGGAAACAAGAACAACATTCAATCATTTCGGCCTGATAATATGTTAAATTAAAATTGATAATAAATTAAAAAATTCATGGATCAAATCGTTTACAGGCTAAACAGGTTTTCAATAAAGTAGATTACCGTAACTGTTTTGACTGCAGAGAAAATTCCAACAAAAATAAAACGATATTTTCATACTCACTGACTATTATTGTCAATATAGGGGTTTATATATTGGACCCGAATTAATTCAAACCATTATTAACTATAACCACAGATAGAGATGTATTTTGTAGATTATTAAATTAAGATTATTACTTTATAAAACTGCAGTTCAGTAACTTAAACTACTTGCCAGTAACAATAAAAATGCAATGAATCACTTATACGAATATGTGTATCAATTTTATTACTTTACAAACGCCTTTTTCTAATACGTCAATCGCCGAGAAACAAATATAATAATAGCAAGATATTTTCTCCTACTTCACTGAGTGCATGAGAATAAAGAAGCTTTTGTCAAAAACATTTTTGAAACAGAACAATATAGAACTAAGTTTGTATAAGTACAAAAAAGTACTTTAATTCATTCGTTACTTATGAAGGCATTTCAATTTGTCCCTATCGACAATCACAATATATTATAACTAGGAAGAAAGGTGTGAGAAGGTCGGACAATCAAACAAAATTAATGGACTGGGTTCTCCGATAGAGGCCTATTGAAAAATCAATGAGTGTTATCAACTACCACTAAAGACTAACTTTTGCAGTGGTGTAATTAATGACACAACAACAAGATTACTAAATCTGATTGATACTATGTTGAAAAGCATTGAGAAAAGTCCTAGACACCATTCATTGAATAATATGAAATAAATTAGGAATAACAACGACATGTGAAAAGCTATATTTTTTGACACATAATGACTGAAATATTGTACTAACACTCATGTTACTTTTCCTACAACATCTCATCATATTGTTAATTGTGAATATTGTAGGGTATGCTATTGAATAATTATTCTGAAAACGAAAAATTGTTTGCCAACAAAATCAAATCCAATACATTTCCATAGTTTAAGACTATATATTTTAGTTGATTACAGTGGGTCCAGGCTGCCAGGAAAAATTTGAATTTGAGTCACAGTGAAGTAATCAATCAATGACTATATGCAATTATATATATATGGATGAATACATCTGATATAAAAAAAAATTCATTTCATTTAAACTACCTTTAAAACATGATAAAATCATGTGCCCGCTCACCAACACACACAAAAAAAAAATCACAAACCTAGTTGACTGAGGCTTGGGACAGAAATAAACAAACAAAAATATGCGAATGTACCGTACATCCGTACCGGTATCGAGTTTACGGACTATTCCTAACGCTTAGCCCGTTGAGCCACACCGCCGCCCCGATATAATAATGACCAATTTAATCATATACAAAAATAACGAGAGAAAGGCAATGTGATAAACAAAAGTTACGAAGATAGTTCTGTACTTAAAAACTATGAAAAAGTAAATGATTGGGCATTGCTGAAAAGGTGATACAGTCTGACAATGGTTTAAGAAATTTGGGAAAAATTTTACAGGATTTAGACGAAAGAATCTAATGTTTTACAATAATAATAAAACACTGTTAGCTTTATCAGTACCTGTAGCCTATGTAAGTATGTCACTAACTACAGAACTACCAGTACCAGCCTACTGAATTAACATTACCACAAACTATTTAAAATTTAGGTAAAGGTAAGGTACAGGGTCTCATGTAGTTTTGTACCTAACATACTTTCAGCGGGCGTAGCATGACAATTTCACGTAACAATCCTAACCTCCACCCGACCACACCATCCAAAAATTATGTCAACACGACGTCACAGTGACATAATAGAGCCCTTCAAACTATACGAACTGCCGTCCAAGACGCGCAAACGAGCACCCGAAATCGAACAGTTATTTCTCTCGCTTTCTCGTCGCAACGATTCCAATAGGAGAGAGATCGATAATGTCAGTCAGTTCTTTATTGACGGCGCCAATGCCAATTCGGGCGATTGTACGTTGTACCTATATTTAGCAAGTTCTATGATGTGATTGTGATGTAGTAGTGACGTAATTTTCGGATGGCGTAGTCAGATGGCAGGATGGGGGTCCAGTAATCAGTAATTTATTTTTCCACCATTCCAAAGCACACAATGTGAATACACAATACAAAAAATAGGAAATACGGTACTTTAGGGTGAAGGGAGGCGCGAGACACCAAGACTGGTTAAGATTGACATATCAAAAAATTGTTATGCTACGCCCACTAGAGGTACGTTAGATGCGAAACTACAGGAGAACCAGGTACGAGTACCGGTACCGTACCCTTCCAGCTTACTACCATTTTGCCACCTATTTATTTATAGTCTACTTCTTTTTTTAAAGTTCCACATTGTGGATTTAAAATACTTTTGTAGAAATAAATAAATGATACGGTAGCCTAATGATGAATAAATAACAAACATAGAACATAGCCTAGTTACATAAACAAAAATATTCATGAACATCATCCAGTATTGTCCAGTAATTCATAGTGTCCCATTGTTGATTCCAGATAAAGTTGTTTATTTATACTTCTAGTTCTAACAGACCAAACCAAACCCAATCCAACATTCTAACTGACTGGACCACACTCACCATCGTTATGAGATAGAGGATCGAGCTTATCAGTTTTATTTATTTTGTTTTTATCAATTATTTAATAGTCTATTGCTGATTATGGAGTCGAAATAAACTTATACTAAAACATATCGTACTGCGTACGCTTCAGCCTTTACAGCCTTGCCATACCAGCATACGCCACCCATACCATACGGCAGTACGGCGATGTCCACAGAGATAAGAGCGCAAGCGCTTTGTTGGTTGATTTTTGATTGCCGTATTATGCATACCGATTACCGACTCCACAGCGACATACAGTACATCAACTCAACAGCTTGTTGAACACGAAACGGGCCTATGGATCGTTTTTTTTTTCATTAAAAGAAAAAATTGAACAATAAAACAATTCAAAAGGTCGATTCATAATATCATTGAATGGATTTCAGCATACCAGGTTTGATTAACATAATACAATTTATACAGTCAATAGAATTCATAATCCATGATGTATGCATGAATGTTTAATTCCAATATTTGAATAATTCCCATGATGCAATTGATTTGTATTCCACCAATTCCACCATAACAATATAGTCAGCATGATATAGAGATCCCATTTATCCATAGGGGTATATATTAACCGTTAGTCGTTGATATTAACATATCACATATTTTAAGAAAATGAAAGAAAAGATGAAAAAGGTGGGCATTGATTAGAGTGTTAGACCGGTATGTTAGTCGTTGGTTAGACCAATGACATTAAACAACATGATGCGCAACTCCGGCATTTTTGGCCGAAGATCGTATCCGATAGCACGCTGTGTCATTGGTTAGACCAACGGTTAGACATAAAACAATACGACCATAATCTTATCTTGTAAATTGTATATATTTTAATATAATACAATAAACATTGTTATTATGTTGTTTGATGTTGTCCTTGTTTGTTACGTTAGCATTTTACCTCCTCTTGGTATTAAAAAATCGCTTTTTTCTTCAATTACTGGACGGACCAATCGCTTTGAAATTTTCAGTTTCGTTTGTACAGTGATTTGGAGGAAGCAAACATATACGAAATATTGTCATTTTCCAAATAAAGTTGTTTCCACTTTAAAATAGATATATATACATATATTCTATAATCAAAAATATTTTTTCAGAACGTATTCAGTTTCGGCCATCCCACTGAAATAC